TCAACTATCTGGTATCCATAGCACAAGCCTCGTAGCTTACCATGGAACTAGATGGTGTTGTGTGTGAATGTCAGAACATATTTATTATATTTATTTATAATCATTTTTATATACATTTCAATCTTTAACAAATTTTGAAGTTATAAATAATAATATGATTTAATTATTTTAATTAATTATACTTTTAGATTGTAAATTTCATTTTGCGAACAATTGAATCAATCATGCTGACTTTCGAAAACTAAAAACACATCTCTCAGACACTTGGATATTTTGAAATATTCTTCCTATGTTTTAGAATGTTAAAATCCGAAGTGCCACTTCCAAGATTTGAAGCAGCTTCACTGGGTCTATATTAAGTATTGCAATATTTTAAATAAAACTATCTTTTTTGGTTTTCTTCGTGGATTTATTTAATGTACTTTAATTGTGTAAGAGGGTGAAAAATACTATACACGTCCTATTCTCATACCTACCAAATATACAAAAAAAAGATCATTAAAATCGGTCGAGACGTTTCGGAGGAGTTCGACCACAAACATCGTGACACGAGATATTTATACATTAGATTATCTGAAACCTTTTAATGCATAAATAACCATTACACTTCTATGTAAATACTATCACAGTTGAACAAGCCTTACTTATCGCTTGACGTTAGAATTTATGGCGGAACTTTCTTTATCACAAACGCCCTTTGCGCGTTCTAACCTTCAATAAGCACTTTTCACTAAATATAAGAGATCATTCCCTAATCGAGCCTTGGTAAAGATTTACCTTTTTTTTTTCAAAGTCAATTTTAATATTGTCACTTGTCAGGCTTTTAAATGAAATAAACTATACGGCAACGATCTAAAAAGTACGAGATACACAATCAGCAACAAAAAATGTCCTCACAGAATGAGCGCTCATTTGATTTAATTATTTCACTTAGAATAATTACCTAAACACAATTGGTGACAAATTTAAGAGAACTTTTGCATGGGATTGTGTATCTACTATCTAGTATTTTTTGATCGATGCTATAAGGTCATTTTTTTAACTCAATTCAGAATACAAATATTGTATTTGGTGTACACTGTACATTTTATCTTTACCAAACAATATATTTAAATTTTTATGTAAATACCAAAATATCATTTAATTAATAAATAGATGAAAAAAGAAAAAAACCAAATAAAGAATTTCAATTTTTCATAAGTAAAGCAAGAAAAATATGTAAATATAAGTCATAAATAACAACATTTTTTATCTGTTGTAGAAATTTGGAGCATTTTTATCGACGAAATTTACGCCTACTAAATTGTGCTTTTCGTTAAAATATTACCATTTAACAACCATAAATTAAGGAAAAGACAGGAAGGTAAGAGCGAAAATTTAATGACTACCTTAATCTTTAATTATTATAATGTCCCTTAACAATTAAAATATTAAATTCGAATGTTAGTTTAACTTCACTAAATATATAGAACACTAGTTCTAACCCGCGGCTTTGCTTGCGGTATTATTGGGATGGGGATCAAATATATCCTATGTCCATCTCCAGGATGCAATTTATATCTCGTTCAGGGGTTTTAGCGTGAAAATGTAACACACAGAGTAATTTCCCATTTATATATGGATTTTCTAATTCGGGATATTTAACACTAGCAACTCATCCTCGTTTCGCTTCGGATTCATCCTTAGGCAAAAACAAATCTATCCCATGGAAACCGTACATTTTTCCGGGATAATATACTTATAGCCTATAGCTTTCCTCAATAAACTTGTTATCTAATGCAAATTAATTTTTCAAATCGGATTTGTAGTTCCTGAGATTACTGCATTCAAACAAACAAACAAAGTCTGCCCCTTTATAATATTAGTATAGAAATATAGATAATAGAGTATCAGTATTAGCGTTATTAGTGGCAAGGCTAATAACCTATGGAGTTGATTTTGAGGTTATAATAAAATATCTCATGGAATTATGAGGAAATATATCCGGTTCATTGATCCGTAGCTTTTAGCTATCTCATTTTATGAACAACTACCCTTTATACCCAAAGTCAGTTTATGCTAACGTATTTATTTAACACTCCGTATTAATTCACAGTAATTTTTTTCATCACAAGCGATATTTGTTAAGTTCAAAGGATTTTAATTTTCGTTTTAAATGAATTTATCTTCAATTTTTTTTGCATTTCCGAGATAGATGCTTCACATAATTATTCTGCTACATCTCCATCAAACAAAAGTTGGCGTTTATTTTGTGATCACGTGACAAAAGCTTTTTTCAATTATATTATTTACAGATAAATAGATAAAGACAAAACCGTTCAGTATCTTTCTCTGTTTGTCAAACGATTTTCTATTCCTTTTTATTTATTAGCCATTAAAAAGCTTTAGTGTTATCAATTAAAAAAAAATTGAAAGCAGTTAGTTTTATTTTTATTAATAGGTAAATTTAATCATATATGTATTATTTCCTCAAATTTTCAATAATGATTATGGACGAACTTAAACCACAGGGCTAACGTTAGTTATAAATAAAATTTGGTCGTATTTATTGCTACTTGTGTAGGCGTGGTCAGTTAGCAGCATTAGGTACCTAATCGAATTCCTGATCCCAAATTGACTTGGTATAGAGCTTGTTGTTACTTAAATTTTGCTTAGGTTAAGCCTAAGAGATGAAACCAAAAATTTATAACTTTTTAATATAATTACATAGACAAAAAAAGTTGCTGTTATTTTTGAGAGTGACATAGAATTACATAAAATTTGCCAGTTAACTTTTTCATAGAAATGAATTTCTGTTAAACTTTTATCTAGTCTAGTAGGACAAACAATTGATAAGAAAAAAAAGTCTAAATTATACTAAAATGTTGAAGGGCCCATGCTTTTTGTAGAACAGCCGTCGGGATATCGTGGTTGAGTGTGTAAGCGATCCTGCGACGCCCCATTAAGACGGGGGAAGTTCTGTTGGGTTTTAGTGGGCTTACTGGCTTTTCTATCCGATCTAACACATTACCGCCTTTATGTATGCAGGTGGTATGTGTAAATGCATTTTTTGACATAAAACAAAACCTTTATTACATGATATGACTTATATAAGTAATCAATATTAAAATTTTTCTACCTTAAGGTATCTTATAATATCCCCACAAATTGATTGTAAAAGAAAATTTAATTCCAAGCATTCACTAATTTGATTTCAAGTAAAATAAAAACGTAGTAAAAAGAAGGAAGAAATCTCGTTCTGAATTAAAAATCTTTTTCTCAGCATTTGATTTCTTTTAAAGGTATTTTAATGAGTCAGAAATATACGGCTCTTGTCTTTGTAAATTGATAATAGAAAGGACTTCTCCAAATTCAATTGTAATATATCCATTTTAATTTCTAAAGATTAAATCCGTCTCATGACGTAAAAAATCGTATTACTTATACTAGCGACTTAAACTCGCTTCGCTTGGGTGCATCCCTAGATACGCTTTAATTTTTTTCTAATTATTTTTATAAAATACAAGTAGCCTATGTTACTCCTTATAACATCAGCTATTTATCAGTGAAGGTCCCGTTAAAATCAGTCCAGCCGTTTCGGAGATTAGCAGGAACAAACAGACAGATAGACAAAAACTTTATTAAATTGTGTTTTTCTTATAAGTACTGTATATAATTACATAATATGCATTTAGTAAAAAGACGTAATTTTGATATTACAAACAGACACTTCAATTTTATTTATCTGTATAGATGTACAGATCACATTGGTAATATCTATTATAATTATTTTAGTGATAATCGATAATTATAAATAATTTTGTACATTTTTCTTAAATACAAATATTTATTTACATCTTCTCTTAGTTGAATATACAAACTACTTAATAAAATGTTATAATGTATTTGGACTGCAACTACACACAAGTGTATATTTTGAACTAGTTCGTAGCCCCTAAACTTTTGTTTTATATGGCGTGTTTTAGTGTCTTTCTTGTACAAAAGTTTGCCTTTTATTATAGCTCAAATATTTTGCTCGTATTATTTGCGCTAGATGGACGTAAGCATCGGCTTGAGAGCGGTAATGCGTAAGCATAACCGCTTTTAGCCAATGCTGTTGTGATGTGGATTGAAGTAGAATTGAAATACCCTCGTAAGCCTTGCAGTATTGTCGTCGTTTTAGATGGGTTTCGAAACGACATAGTATACTATTAATAAAGATATAAATAAAAAATGATTTAATAATATTTTTAGTTAGTGAGACGTTTGGCTCAGTTTGTAGTGACTTTACTAGCAGTCGCGGGTTCGAGTCCCACGGGGGCAGTCATTTGTGTGATAAGCTATTTAATAATTTGTACTCCAGTCATGGGTGTTTATATTTATAATGTGTTTGTATTTAAAGTTATATATGTGTAGTGTATCAACTATCTGGTATCCATAACACAAGCCTCGTAGCTTACCATGGAACTAGATGGTGCTGTGTGTTAATGTCCCAACATATTTATTTATTAGTTACTGTCGAAGGTTTTACCTGTATATTTGGTATTTTTTTTGGACTACAATTGCTATTGTAAACTTTTCTTTGTATAAGAGTGAGGGTTTTAAAGGATAGATAAAAATTCAATGAGAACAACCTCTTTATTTATTTAAAAGGACAATTTTTCACTCGATTTCATTAAGTCAAAAGTGCGCTGTCAAAAGGTGAACACAATTACACTTAGTTCCGATTTAAAAGACTCACTCAGTTGGTTCTTTTTAAGATCTTTAAATAGAAATATACGTAAAATTTTAGTGGTCTTAGGAAAAGTTAAATTATATTTTTAAAGAGCTTTTGATCAAAATAATATCGTTACTAGCTACCAGTTCAAAGCTTGTGATAAGGCTGACAATTAAATATATTTAAAAATACTGCCTCGGCGATGTAGTGGCTACCATGTACGGCTGCACATTCGGAGGTCCTGGGTTCGAGTCCCGGGTCGGGCCAAGTTTAGTTATTGAGTCTTTCTGTATAGTAAGCCTCAGTAACAGCCCGGAGTTGGGAAGTTGTCGGTGTTACACCTCCGTGCCTCGGAGAGCACGTAAAGCCGTCGGTCCTGCGCCTTAACTCTCACTGGTCGTGTCAAGCAGTCGTCCCACCGGAGTATGAGAGTGACAGGAATAGAGAGTGCACGTTGCGTCTGCGCGTACACTTCTGCACTATAATATCTCCTGCGCAGTTGGCTAGTCTCAATGAGATTGGCCGCCGTGGCCGGAATCGGCCAGGAGAACATCATATTTAAAAATTTAAAAATAACTTTGTCTTACGTAGTGCATTACATGAACGTATAGAAGTAAGTGTAGAAGAGATTTTTTGCTGTATAGTGTCTATAGGTATACCTGACTTCAAAATACTTTTGTCACTAGCAAAATTAAGGAAAAAATAAAATGGAAGTGTCTGTTTGTAATGTCAAAATAACAGCTTTTTACTAAATGCATTTGAAAGTATATACGGTACTTAAAAGAAAAAAGAATCAATTTTAACTTTTTTGTCTGTCTGTCTGTTTATCTGTCTGTTTGTGCTGCTTAATCTCCGAAATGAATGTACCAATTTTAATGGTACTTTCACTGGCAAATAGCAGCTGTTATAAGGAGTAACTAAAATCCATGAAATTGTGAAATAATCCAAAATCCCCGTACCTACCCGAGCAAATGATCCGAGCAGACGCACCAAAGGAAAGCATGGGTAATTCGCTAGCATTATGAAAAAATCGTTCAAGTTGTGTTCTCATTATTGTTATTAGAATATTAATTTTAGTCCGTGGCTCTGACTGATAATAAAAACTTAAAAAAAAACCGACTTCCAGACACTAAAATGTAAAAAATAACTAAACGGGGGTTTTCATTTTGAATAGATACCTAATCAGATATTTTCGAAGTAGGTGCCAGCCTTTTTTTGCCTACTAGATATTCATATCTTAAAATATTGCCTTTGAAACAAAAAAAAATTCCAAATCGGTTTAGCCGTCTTCGAGTAATCGGTGAACATACATAAAAAAATAAGATTACGACGAATTGAGAACCTCCTCCTTTTTGGAAGTCGGTTGTTAAACAAAGTACAGAAAACAAACTTAAATGGGTTAAATGAATAAATATAAAGATTTTGATGTTTACGCTTTTCTTTATATTTCCAATTTCCCTAGAGGGTGACAACTTAAGGATATAAAAGTGATATTGCTTGTTGAAAGAAGTTCCGCAGTAAAACTGTTTATTTTGAAAAAGGACAAGTTCATGTTAGTAGATATATTTTGGCGAAAATAAGAACTTGTATCTATTAGGTTATGTAAGTTATAAGAGCTAGGGCACACATATATAAACAAGCTGCTGGCTCTATGTACTAATTTGCCCGGGATTATATTTAGTTCTCACATGAGAATCTAGATCGAGTAGTTGATAGGAAAAAAATTACCTACTTATTTTTGACTGACATCGAATATATATATATATATATATATATATATATATATATATATATATATATAGGATTTGCGAGGTGAGTGTGCATGGAATAATATTTTAAGAATAAAAGAGGAGAGTATGTAAGAATTTTAAGAATGGAATGGAATGAAATAGATGAATAAAAGAAAAGAAGGATGTTGTGTCATAATGACGACAAGACGAGAAGTGTGAACATTGTATTTTCTGATTTTAGAAGAATAAATAGTAATTAGTGTACTATAAAAGCTTTTATTGATATCCCCGGATCCTACACTATACCATATACCATACCACTAACTTCTTAACTTCGGGCTATTACTAAAGAATCTCTAGACAACCCAATAACTGTACTGAGATCGACCCGGGACTCGAAGTTAAGACCTACTAATTTGCAGCCATACAAGCTAACCACTAGACCAACGAGACATTATTATTAGACTGTTAAATATTGGACGTTCAAAACTTTTTATGAATCTTTTATTGCCTTATATATGTTAGACTTTAAGGAGCTTACAAACTTTGGTTATTGGTTCTATCATTATACTTTTTTATTGCTTTATTGACGTTTTAGTTTATATGTAATCAAAGTATTTTTGATATGGGACTAAAGCACGATTTTACTCTGAGTGCAAAATGTAGTTAAGCTTATGATTCATTTGTTTATTGCCTATTATTTATCTATTTATTTATTGGGTCTACCAGCGATTTTACATAATTAATATTTCTTAAACTATTTACAATTTACATTACATGCACAGGATATGTAAAATCATGTAAAGGTAAACACTACTCGTACATGCTTTTTGCTTAATATTACTTAATAAAACTAAAGTGATTTAAAAACAGAATTTAACTGAAACCAGAGACAAACAAAAAATAATACAAAAGTAAATCTGTAAAAGTTTGACAAGCCCTACCCTATATACATATTTAGTGAAACAAATAATTCTTTAGCGTTATACTTAAAATTACATCTAGATTTAACAAGAACCTTAATCTAACGCAACCAAATATGTAATAAAAGAAACTAAATTAAACTCGGTTAATTTAAATAAATACAAAATGCAAATATTATATAAATAAAGTAAAGTATCATGTGATGATATTGCATTTGTAGATAATATTATGATAGAAAATAATATAATTTTGTGATAAGTATACCTATTGTTTTAAGTGTATTATCACCTCCAGGTAAATTTCTAAGAAATTAATTGAAATTCTAAAAAATCTATTGTTAACTAACACGCTGGCGTGTCCGCGGTCGTGGAAGGATTAATATTACAGATTTTCCCTCTCTTCGCTTGGGTACACCAATAGATGCCGAATAATAGCCTATGTATTACTCCAGGTCATATCTGTATACTAAATTTAAACCAAATATGTCCAGCCATTTCAGCGTGAAGGAGTAACACGCACGCACGCACGCACCTCTGATATTTTCGTGTGCGAATCATTTCCAACATTATTACCACTTGTCTTACAGTGAAGTAAAATATCCTGAGGAAACCTGCATGTCTGAGAGAACCTAGCAATGTTCCGAAAAGTCATATGAAGTCCACCTATCCGGATTTGACCAGCATGGTGGACTATGGCTTGATCTTCCCCGTATTGAGAGCAGGCCCAGCAGTGTGCAGTGTGGGTGGCCCAGCAGTGTGCCGTTAAAAAGGGCTAAATGCACATCCCACAGGATCAACTAGATACTTTTCGATTAAAGATAATATGTCACTCTCCGATTTACAAAGTGTCTTTAAGTAAAAAACCATTACTGCATGTAAGTAAATAAAACAAACGAACAAATATTTTGTATTTCTAATATAAATCAAGATAATACCTATATCAGCTTAGTATATTATTTCTAAGATAATTTTTATAATTATACTAATTTAGTAAATCATAACAATAACTTCCTTTATTATCTATACTAATATTATAAGGAGGTAAAGTTTTTGAAATTGTGGGTTTGTGACGTTGTAGGGGATAATGTCTGGATCTACTTAACCGATTTAGATGAAATTTGGTAAAACGATAGTTTGAGACCCTGGAAAGGACATAGAATACTTTTTATCCCGGAAATCATCTCTTAAGAGGGTGAAAATGGGGATAAAATTTGTATGGGGAATCAAGTTATATTATAATTAGTTTATGACACTTTTGGGCCATCAATCGATCAATCGATTATGGGCTCTGAAGCTATCAATCATTTGTTTAGTAAAATTTATGACAGCAACTTACATTATAATAACGTTCCTGAATTTTCATAGATTGGCTAAGCTACTTTGTATATGGTATTTCTATCCCCTTATACGAGTTAAATTTATAAAAAAGATATTGCTAATAGAAAATAAAACTATGTATATAGAGAAAACATGTTCTGCGGGCTCAGCTAAGATCATATTCGAAGACGATTACGGTACTCGAAATTTAAAAGTTGTATTGAAATTAAATTAAACAAATCCTTTTAAATATTATAAGATATATTGTAAACAAATAATATTTTAAAAGAGCAACTGTTGAGTTTCTCGCCAGCTCTTCTCAGCAAAACTGCCTCGCAAGCCGATGGTAGCATGGACTTATGTACATACTAACATTTAATTTAAATTTTGAAAATATAAAAAGTAACGATTCAAAAGTGCTTGTTACAGTTTAAAGTAAACTACCAGAACCCGCGGCTTCACGTGCACTATAACTATAAAAAAAAATCTCTAAAAAGTAGGCGTCATACAAACTTTCATACCCTATTTAACCGGGGCCTTATAGGATGAATTTTGAAAAATGCTAAAACATGCATTTATTACATTGTATTGAAGTACTTTAGTATAAAGTTTTAAGTAGTTCTGATCACGAATATTTTTTTGGTTATATTAGAACGTGTTTTCCCGTAGAATGAGATAATCTCTCGCAGCAAAAAGTACAATCTTCCCACAAAAATCACGCCAATCCGTTGTTCCGTTTCGACGTGAAAGAAGAACAAATAAACAACAAACACACTTTCACATTAATAATATTAAAAAAATGTGGATTTGATTCAATATTGATATATAGAATAAAGCTTATTTTAATATACATTTATAAAAACATAACAGTTCAGTAACTTTTTCTCCTTTGTTTGTTAACCATTTTTTTTGTTTAGTAGCTACGGACGAGCTTTTTTCAATTAAACACTGATAAATTAAAAATTAAAAAAAAAACTCCAGACCGTCTTGGACCGATTTCCATTAAACATTGCTAAGAACACTCCCGACTAATTCACCTTTCAAAAGAAAAAAACAAAATCAAAATCGATTCATCACATCGGTTCATCTGTTCGGAAGCTACGATGCCACAGACAGACACACACTTATAACACCCCATCGTTTTTGCGTCAGGGGTAAAAAAATAGTTATGGTCGAATTTTGATTTCCGGGCGAACACTATTTATTATGATTACTTTTAAACTAAAACATACAACTTACCTCCTTTTTTTAAGACAATTACATTGCACTACGAATAAGAAAATTTATAACGTACTGAAATAAAAGAAAATTGCTTTGTCCGTCTGTATGATGTTGCACTTTGCACAATTCTACTACTTATTGTGTCTTACAAGACTGCAAGAAGATAAATTAATTAATTTGTATCAGAACCATTAATCATTTGAATCTCTATGACTAGGTATGATGTATAATTGTAAATTACATTTCTGTTTAAAGAAATATTGAAGAAACTAGTGGTGTACTGAATTTTCCTAAAGTATTAATCTGTTGTTATTTGAGCAAATATTATTATGTACGTTATTATAAAATCATACTCTCAGTTATCA